CACATTTATAATTTCAAGTGAAAATATTCGACGTTACGCGGGCAAAATCCGTTCGAGTGCTGCCGCCGTACCTTCGTACCTTCGTTCTCTCTTTACATTCGCAGCTCGCGGAAAATAAATGATCGTGCAATAAAAAAAACGGAGGAGGTTTAAACCAATACAGCTCTGCTTAAAATAAACGCGGCGATGTAAAAATTGAAATAGAAAAGAAAAGCGGGGAGCGTTTAGATATAAATATTGTACGTCTTCTCTCGGGATGTCTCCTCGTTCTTGGGGTCGGGTTACGCTGTATTATCATTCCGAGCGGAATCGGAAATACCGGCGACTCAAAGGGGAAAAGAAGTCGCGAGCGGAGGAGCCGCAGAGGGATATCAATTATTTGAAAATGATGGCTCGATTGCCTAAATTCGTCTCGACGGGAAATAATTGATTGCGGGAACGCGACGTTCAGACGGCTACGAGGGAGAATATCGATAGGCGAATGCGCGCCCGTTGTCTCGTGGCTCGTAAAGCGCATCTCGCGGCGCGGCGCGGCGGCGGGTCGCACGGCGATCGGTGGCCCGGGTGGACGACGGACGACGGACAACGGGCCCCTTAACAAAGGCGACATACGTTACATAAAGTGGCCTCTTACGTTCCCGCACGGCCGGCTATTCTTTACCGCGACTTTGATACAAAGGGCACAGGCGTCCCCCGCCACCCCCGCCTGCCCGCGCGCCCGACACCCCCATGGGCTCCCTGTCTGCCGCGCGCACGTGTACGTACGTTTTTCACGGGGAAGACGGAGTCGCCGGTGCATGTGTGTATAGGGTGTAACGCGGGTAACGAATGTTATTGATGTGCGACGCGGTACAACGTCGGCTCCATGGATGGCACGCCCTTATTGTCATTTTATACGATACCTGCCTCTATTTCCGGCCACAAATATTCGATAACGGCGCGACAGCGCCCGGCTACGGGGACGTTCCTTTTTCGGGACGGAACACGGACGACGGCTATTGGCTTTGAGCTCTGACGTACACACGACGGCAAATTGGACGACGAAGCGCGTTGGCGTCCGCGTTGGCGTCCACGACGGCGTCGGCGTCGACGTCGACGTCGACGTCCTCGTCCTCGTCCGACGCCGTCGCGCGAGGAAATTCGTTCCTCGCGTCGTTGAAAAGAATCGGATCTACAAGCAACGATACGAGTCGCCAAATTAATCGCATTAAGTGGCATAATCGCGCAAGGAATGGTTTTGTATGGGGAAAAAAAAAACTCAATCGAGACTTGAAATGAAACTCTTTTATTCGTTTTTTCTACAGATTAATTTCGAAAACTGGGAGAGGGCTGTGCCCTCGTTGTATTAAATTCTCCGACAGCGAATACCTCGACGAAATTATTTAAAAAGGAAAAACACCGATACTTTCACCCCCGTCGAAACAAACTGTTGTGTGCGTGAGCTCTCGTTTTTCTAATCTTCATTACTATTTAATACAACTGTAGTTATATTAAATCCACTTACAATCGTACGTTATTTGCAGTATATCGGTATACGCGCACGGGACTGCATATTTGCGATTTGATGCCCCCTTTAACGGTAAACGTACAACCCAACTCCAAAAAACGTTCCTATCATGAATTCACCTTTCTCCGTTCGTAGTTGATAAAACCGTGTCCGATTCGAGCTCGCATTCCCTCCGAAAAATACACAAACGGCGCACTTCCTGGCGCGTACAAATTGTACGATTCTGCCGGAACCCAGTGCGACTACCGAAGAAACGATTGATCACGGTACAGAAATTTTTTTTTTTTTTTTTTAGCAAATTGCTCGACCGTATCGATATCTGGCCGAGTATTTCATAGTTTAAGCGACGCAAAAATACACGTACACTGCCGTTTACATTTGACGGAGCTCGTGAAAAAAAAAGCCAAAATCAATGTTGAATCCTACGCGCGTTGTCAAACAGATTGGCCGATATGCAGTCGATATGATTAGTCCGTTTATCAAATCCGTTGCCAAAACGGCGAAGACAAGTAAACTGATTATACTTTATATTGTCGATCGTTGAATTATTCTCCCGTTACGTTTGCGAGTTTTGCAAACGAAATCTCAACAGTTCTCTTCTCAATTTGTTTATTCTTGCCGCGAAGTCTTGGCTTCCCAACCGAGAAAACCATTCAACATTCGTCAGCACGTGAAGTCAGAATATTCTCTCATTTAACACGATACAACGACAAAACATTCGCAGCGTTCAAGTCCGATATGGTTTCGTGATTTCTACACTAGACGCAACAAAAGAAAATTTTTTCAACGGCGGAAACCTGTAAAAACAGCGCGCTTTACAGGCTTTAGTAATTAGATCAATATCCATTGATAAACAAATTTCAAATTACTGCAATATAAATTCCTTTTGCGGCTCTGCTCTCTTCTTGATAAAAATACGTATCCCCTGTTTTAATAATATCATTGTTATTACAAGGTGTACAACTATATTTGGTCACAATAGAAATGTGTTAAGGGTTCAAGTCTTTTTAAACAATTCTTCGCAAGACGTGACGAGTCCAATTTTCAAATGCTTAGTTGAGAGCCCCTGGCAATATGCGAAGAATGTAGAGCTGACCATGGAATCTCTCATCCTCTTATCCATCCTTGGTAGTCCCTTTCTCCCTCTTCCGGAAGGTTGATTAACTCGACGAAGCTCGCGGCATACTTACTTAACAATACCTGCAGGACCCCAAGCGGGGTTCAGAAGGAGCTCTTTTCCTTCACAGTGAATGCAGTCCGACATTGCGCTCTTTTTTTTTTTTCTTTTTCATTTCCGGAAAAGGGTGACTGACCATCGATTTCGCCGCAAATGTAAGACGTTCTTGAAACAACAGCAGCGGCTGCTTTAACATCGAAAAGTTTAACAGTTATTCTATGCCATTTGTGACAATTATTGGCAATAATATAGTTTCCTGGTAATACAGGCCGAGTAATTGTCCGACATTGAACAATTATAGACCGATATACGGTCATTACGGAATATTAAGACCACGAGTGTGGTACGCGACAAATATATATATATATATATACATATGTATATATACATAATAGGCTTATAGAGAGAGGCCATAACGAAACAATAGTAATTTGTGGATTATTTCATTTTATTTGAATTCCACAAATTTACCTGGTAATTTTCTCAATTCATTACATTATTTTGCTGTAAAGTGAATTGCCATAAATTAATCAAAATCCACTTACTTTTTTCTCTACAATTACAGAGCAAAATTGTCGCTAATTTATCGTCGGATTATACATTGCAGTTTCAAACGTCGCGAACGTACACTTCGTACGAAAAATGTTTCGGAATAAAGGATGACTCGTGACGCGAAATCTTCAGGCATTCCTAGAAAAATTGTGGTAATTTTTTTTCTTCTCGATGAAACCTACTTTGCAATTATCCAAGCTTATATTATTACGTATATTTTATTATATTAAACCTGTCGAGCGGATGTAGCGTCGTCCATTTAGAGGATTCCTTCACGAAGGCAAAGAATTTTTGATGCGAGATCGTACCAGTTTCCTCTTCGAAGGGGATTATGGAAATGATTCTCTATATATGAATTCTGCTTATTTCAACGCTGGTGACAAATACTTATAACGGTGAGGAAATTTACATTACAGGGGCATATCTCCGGGAAGGAATGACTACGGCTCTATACATAATACAATAAACCTAACTTGCTCACCAACGAGGTTTTACGAGTGAAAACAATAATGGCGTTTGTATGCTTCGATATTTCCCCGCGTCTCTAAAGCCACGATATGTACGAATCCAAGCAATACGGATTGTCGTTGCTAGAAAACGTTCATCGCGCGATATATATACGAGTATATTGATAAGTCTACATTGACTTAAATCATAAAGCTTATCTGAAAGGACAGCTACGCGGTTGAGTGGATCGCAAATATTGCATGCCCAGATCCACTTTTCTACGCGTCCGTCCTCCCGTATCAATTCTTAGTGCATCCGCGCACGATATTCGCCTTCGATTCTCTTTCGAGAACATACAGTTATACAGCGTCCCGTTTCCCACATGTTCCGTCTCTCGTCTACGGCACACTTTATTTCGCAGTGCGTACAAACGATAAAACTGCGTTTCCCGTTTGCTTGATGCGACCGCCGATCCTTGGAGCATCAAATATTTACCCACGAAGGCAACTCCGGAAGGGAAGGGGAGTCGCGTTTACGGATTTGTTACGAAATAAACCAACTATTACCACGGAGATTCTGACTGGCAAATGGGTACACTGTACGAATTCACGGCGCGAGAGAATACTTGTCGCAACGACGAGAACGAAAGTCTATTTCTCGATCAATAATCGTACAGGTTTTTCGTCACAGGTGAGATTTGGTGGATGCTTTTCGAAAATAGTAGGTAATTTTGTACGCAAGAAAATGTGTTATTCGAATTAGCTCTTCAAAAGAAAGATCTAATAACATAATTAACCCTTCGAAGCATACATTTTTTGTGAAACTTTGTATACAAGGGTTTGTGGGCTCGCTGATTACGAATCCGTTATCAGATTTTCATAACTCAAAATGGCGAAATTCCAAACTTAGGAGAATAACGTCATTCAACTGTAATGCAACTATGCTAAGAAACATTATTTAGATATTATTAGAACCCATGGAATCTAAATTCCAGTTGAAAATTCTTATAGTTTGTTTAGTTATAAAACTTTTACAATAAATATTAAAGGCCGCACGGAAAGACAAAGGCTAAGACAAAAGTAACTAAAATTAAAATGTTGCCGTATAAATAGTATACTTATAGCTGTCCCAAATATTACTATTTATTGGGGTTGTGCCAACCCTAATTAGACATGTGGTAACTTTATCGCTCAACTCTTTTTTATGTTCTTTCATCGCTAAGATACCCAAAAAGTGCAAAAAGCCCGACCTAAATGCGTTAACTAGAAATTAAAGGGCCAAAAAGTAAAGAAGTTGAGGTGGTAACGTGGGCTACCGCTATGCTTCAAAGGGTTAACCGAATTATTAATTAATTCTCTCGCTACGTAATAAATATGATTAACACATGTATACAAGTTGTATTAATAGCAATTATTTTTAGTAAATCTGTAAAACATTAATTTTTCTCTTACAAAATGTCTGTCGGCTACAGGTGACATAAATTCATTTTGTATCGATTTTAAAACATAGTTAAGCGTATACAAAGGCCTCAATTTGTGCAGTCAACCTTGTCCCGTCGAACACTACCAGAAGTAAAATATTAGATACTAGCCCAATTAATTTTTATGCCATGTACAGGACGCAATTCCTATATTATCTATATTCGATACTTTTATTATAAATAACGAAGGTAAATTATATATTTGTTACACCTACAACTTGCTAACACACCTAATTCGAGTCAATTTTAGTACAAATAGCACATTCTTTGTCTGGGATGCAAATAACGACACAAGTTTATAAAAATTGTTCGCGTTTAATTATTAATAGGCGAATTATACAATTTGATATGAAAATTCAAAACGCCTGCATTCCGCTCAAGAGCAGCAATTAGTATTTAATCTGCAGAACAAGTTAAAACACATATTAAAGATGTATCAAGTATCAGCGAGAAAGAAGTCGACCTTTCGTTAATAACGAAATGATGTAGTTCGAACAAAATCGGTTTAACGAGCCGGATCCGTATAGCGAGAAGAATCTCTGCAGCTTTCCGTGAGTGCATCGTAAAAGTTTAACGCAAAACCGAGAGTACTTTGGCGTGTGCTGCCCTCCGCCTTTAATTTCTTCGTTAAGAACCGCCCTTCCTACCTTTGGAGAAAACAAGGATCGGAAGTCGAAGGGAGAATATGGCTGAAAAGAAAGACAAAGTCCACTGTCACGTTCTTCGGAATAAATCTCCAATTTTGTTTACAAAAACAAAGGAAGGAAAGGAACGTACACCGGCGAAACATGTATGCAATCAGATTGTCATGACTTTCGCATATTCTGCATAAGTACTGAATTTTTCATTTTTTTTTAACCAGAATTATCTACGATATAAATGCGTTGCGCTGTAACGCGGTTATATCGGCAACGGCGCGACGTACTTTGATTATTTTTTAATTATTATGCAAACTTGTCCCTTTCAAACGTTCCGACTTAAACTCGTTAACGTGAAAAATCACCTGGAATGCCATTGAGACAACAGATGTCGAGGAAGCTCAGGTGGAGAACGAAGGATAATCCGGAAATAGAGGAAAGCAATAGCGGACGGAAGAGAAATAAGATTCGTAACAGAAGCGAAGACGAGTCGCGCACGAGTAAACAGATGCCATGTACGTAGTAGTTTCGTGTAGCTTCGTCCATTATTCTATCTTCGTGTATATATTCTATCTTGGTGTATGTATATATATATGTACATATATAATATGCACAACTATGCGCCGCTTTCCGAAAGCTTCAGCTTTCAGTTCTTTAAGTAGGATACGAGGAGTCTGCTTCCTTCTGTATGTGGATTACGTCATTAAATTCGTTGGCTGTAGCTGTATAACGTCTGATGTTAACATTGTTACCCTTATACGTCGACATGTATTTCCTTTTCTGCGGAAAAGGAATTGTGCTTGAAATTTGTCGACTCGGAAATTCGCCGATAAACATCCAAAAATGTTGGCCCCGCGTTAGAGGAGGATTCGCACAAAAGTAAAGTCTCCAAACTTGATCTTAACGATGTGTCTTTCAACTAGAATATTGAATAATCGTTGACAAGAGGGTAAGCTCGTAAACTCGATTTGTTCTCTCGTATCATAAATTGTATATTTAATAAACTTTGCCGCAATATATTCTGTAACACTGGTCTGGCCATAGTAATCTACGATAGAGTTGGAATTAATTTGCACGATGAAGGGTTTAATCGTCACTATATCAAAGGGCTTGCGGAGATACATCTTTCCGGCAGTTGAACGAAACGGATTGTTTTACGTTTCACTTACTTGCGCGGTTTCCTACCAAGTGGCAACATATTGGCACCTACGCTTGCTGAATAGATTGTCCGATCGATCACAAAGTTCGCACTCGATCGACCGGCGAGATATTTGTTCGGATGACAAAATACATTGCACCACGGATGCTTGACGTCCACGGCCGATCGATCATCGAATGGCATGTGATCGATTCGCCCAACGTCCGCTGAAACGAGGTTCATCGCTTCGGATGCGTCATTCGATTACACGTGAATTTGTACATGGCATATTGTAGAAAAAATATTTCGCGACCATGTTGACGCGGGATATATTTAATTTCTAAATCAAATACGAAACTTTTTTTATTAACGCAAACCATATTTTGTGAGAAAATAACAACGATACGGTTTATATTCCATTGATTACATATTATTCGGTTATTTTTTGTCATATCAACAAAGGCAAGGAATAAAGTTCATGAGCAAAAGTATAAAGCGCAAATCGAGAATACATGTACAATATTTTTCATCATAAATCTCATGAAGTGTATTATCCATTGTTTCGTATATGATTTTATTATTACACCGAGACTTTCGTTTCGCAGTTTCAGTTTTCGAAAAGTGATATATATATATTACAGGTTGCGCGTCGTTGCATATCGCGGGGGCGTATTTGTTTTATTACCGATTTGTCGGCGCTTTCCGCAGCGTGACTTGATACAGGGACAGGCAATATCTTTACTGGAGTACATCGCACATTGTGGAAAGACAATAGGTACTCCTAGTAACCCTGTATGACAATCTTGACTCCCATGATAGCGCGTATAGCGTGCATCCATCCCGCATTCGAGGGCTCCACGGCCACCGATGGATATAGACCATGCGAAATCCCACCCTAATGAAAACCCCCCATGCTCACCCTGTCCGCCCCATATATGTCGACCCAGCTGACTGGATTGCGGCGCGGCGGTGAGACAGTCATGACATTGCTCCCCAATTGCATAGGAATTGTCGGATATAATTTCGGAAACCCTACTGCGATCGTTCGATTTGATCCTCGAGATCGACCGCCTGTCCGGGCTACACGTGTGAAAATCGATTCGCCCGCGCCTCCTCGCGTTTTCCATATTAATATCATCGAAAACCGCGAGGCAACGATAGAGATACGGCGTCGTGTACGTTGTCGATCAGTTTGCAACGGAAAAATTACCGACCCTAGATTCACCCCGACTACGATGTACGCCCGCTAAACGCATTATTCATTGGATTAAACTCCGTTGGATACTTGACGCGCACTGCGAAAACTAATAATACCCCACGTCATGCTACACTATCCTACTTTTATTAATCAAGTATGCCGTGCTTTGCCGTTAACGCTAAGATCTTTGCATTCTTTTTTCGCCGTTTGCGCCTCGTCCTCGATGTAATTGGTTGTCAGAAGGTTGTCTACGTAGGAGGGGTCAGGCTAGGTGCCTCGAAGCAAATTACGAGGGGCTGATTCTGTCCATTGCAATTCGCCTCCAATATATTATCTTATCCTCGTGGCTTACCCGCCGGCCCATCGACTTTCTTAAAATTACTTTTATCAGCACTTTGTTTCACCAATTACCGGGACTTTCATCTTTTTCGTGACCGGCTACGCGCATTGCCGTTCTCGCGACGAAAATGATGGGCGCACTGATTCCACGACGAAAAGCAATCCAGATAGAGTTTTTAATCGCGACATTCGTTAGAGATAATATTTTTCATTCGACGCTGCGCACATGAAAGGCGGGGTCTCTAATCGTTGAACGTTTCGAGGGTCCGAAACGTAAGGAATAAAAGGGTCGGCCGTAAGTAAGAACAAAGGATTAAGCGAACGTAACGCCCGGGAACGTCGGGGGATACATTACTGTAATATGTTTACCCGGCCGATCTATTTCCGTCTAGCGGCCACGAAATAACGAAAGTTACATCATTACGTCGACACTTAGCTACCGTAAACGAGGACGGGATTAACGTGACATCGGCGTACATACAGGGATCGGTATGAGGGCCCTTGTTTTAAGTGCCGAGCAGTGTCCGACAATGTACAATCGAGACCAAGTCCTCGCAATTAGCAGTGCCACGTCGAGTTGCACCATTGAGTTTCCTAGGAACGAGCACGATGATAATTATAATTAGTACACGCGGCGGCGAGCCTGAGCACCGTTGCGGCGACGAGACGCGCGAGACATTGACTTCCGAGACCAACTAGGAGCAGGATTTTCGCTTCAATGGGACGTAGGTATACCAAACGTAGTCATTAAACCGCGCTCTATTCACTGGCGCCGTCCTCGTCCCCGAGCCTGTGTCCACTAAAGGTGTCCATCGTATTAAATCATTGACGCAAAGTGTCCGCAGTGGACACTCTCTCGGCCGGTCTTATAATTAATAAAGCCGGTGCCCCGTGTCTCGTACGTTTTATGCCCGCGCCTCAGACAAAATGATCTCGCGTATAAAAGCGCGAAAGGCACCGGAGCTGGTATCGGCCGACTATACTCCCCTCGGTTCACAATAAGACAGAGGCAAAATAGAAAAAGAGAAAACAGTGAATTCAGGAAGGGAGGTAAGGGGTGAACGCCAAGCGCGCGGATTCCGGCTTTTAGGACGCAACTTTTCCGACTTATTGGCACTGCCTGAATAAATTTAATTCCGACGTTTCCCCCCCCCCCTCTCTCTCTCTCTCTCTTTCCGTCCCCCCTTATCTCTCTCTCTCTCACGATGAATGGGGCCTTCCTATTCTCAACAACCTCGCTAAGAATTTCATCCTTGCCTCCTTTTCTCTGTGTCCTTTGACACCACTGCGATCTTTGCGATCAACAATGTCACATGAAATAAACCCTAAGAAATAGGCGAAAATTAATGAAAACGAGTCAATCGCGTATCTAAAGTCTGTGTAGAAACATTGCTTTGGAATATTATAATATCTCTCTCTCTCTCTCTCTCCCCCCCTCTCTCGTTTCACTATTTCCGCCCAAGTGCGCGTTGCAGAGAATCGGGGGGGAAAAATCCGCTAGTACAAATTACGGGGGATAAAAACTTGTAAATTTTTCCGGAAAATTTCGTTTAATCGGGTAACAATAATCACGAATTACTTTCAACGTCTGCATTCTCGCGACACACGCAATATGCAGATTTAATTAAATGCGATCGCACGAAATGCGAACAGCGAATACGACATTGCATTTGATAATGTCAATAAAGGGAAAGATAATAATACGACAAAAACGGCATTTTATTCGATGCAAGGCATCGCGGAAATCTGTTGTATTCGCGCTCAGCCATCTGTAAGAAGGACGCAATGGATGCGAGACAGCCCTTGCACGCGATATTAAAATTTCGTAGAGATTCCATATTTATTAGACCGGCAGGGGGAGAGGAGGGGGGGGAGGGAGGGGGAGCGTGGGGCGCGGGAGAGGCGTCACACGTTTCCCCGCGCGAGTCCATGTGTCTCTCGACGAGTTTGTTAACAATTGGCTTTGCCCATCGCGTATGTATCTCATCGATCGAATCGACGGTGACGGCCAATGCGCGAGCATCGGCGATTATTATTTTCAACTTTTCGCTTCTTCCGCCGTACAATTCTAATAATTGGAAAAAATAGCTTTGTACACCGCAGTAGCGGTAAAGCTTGGCGAGAGGCGCGGCGCATATCGATAATTCTCGTATGAAAGACGTACTCATGTACGCATAAACACGTCACGTACGCACTTACGCGCGCGTCTACTCGGGAGCGCGAGGCGTGCGCGTGTGCGCGCGCGCGCGCGGCGGTACGCGGAGGCGAGAGGAACGCACACGCGTAGATACGCACGGTCTACTTACGCGGGGAGACGTTTACCGTGTCCGCGGTGTGTCGCGTGTGTGTACACGGGCACGCGTGAGTACACGCGTG